TACATTGTATTTAATAAACACTAATACTATTACTGCTACAAACCTGATAAACTCTTGTAAATAATGCCATTCAAATCCATAACTACATGACTGATCCTACTTGTATTCATTGACCCAAAGTAACCAAAAGTCTTTCTTGCCCACAAGCCAAATCTAACACTCTCTTTCAAAAAGTTACTTGTTATATGTTATATGAGGTTTAGAATTTTGGAGTGACAAAGTCACAATCTTCTGAACCCAACAGTATTCTAAATAGATCAAATATCAAATAAACCCTCTTATTATAATTACAAACTCTGAAATCTAGGTGAGCCTTGGCCATTTTGTTAGGTTTTGATTACCGATAACTTGTCTAAGTCTCTAATCTTAATATCTTATAGATATAAAATTCAAATATAAATTTTTTTTGTATATTCTACTTGTAAAAAGTTTAACTGAGTTTTAATAAAGATAAAGACATGACCTTACCATTAATATTTAAAAAAAAAAAAAATTAGGATTTAATTGAGATAGATAGAAATTAAGAAAAAACTGATAATCTGAAGGTTTGATATAAAAAAGATTAATGTTAATGTATTTGATTTTAGTTAAATATTTAGATAATACCAAATGACTTAAACTAATAAGTTAAAATAATTAGATAAAGTTTTAGGTTTAAATAGAAGGTAAATATAGGCTTCATTATGGTCATTGTTAATAGAAATAGTTAATATATAGTCATAAGCATTATTAAGAGAATAGTCAAAACTATAAATATGTCATAAAAAAAATAATAGTTTGTGGATAAAAAATCAATAGAAGGTGATTATAATAAGAATTTGTTGTAACAGGTATTAGGTTAAATGTGATTATAATATTATTTAGTAATAGTAGTATTATTATAACCTTTTAAAGTAGTTTCTATTAATTGAAAATAAATATAATCAAATTTATGTACATAATAATTAAGTTAGTATTTAATATATTATTGTTTATTAAAGAAAATTTGAAAGGAATAAATATAAATAGATAATAAATATAATCTGATAGTTATAAAAAAAATATTTAAATAAGGAATGAGAATTATATAATAAGATATATAGTATTCATTATAGTCAAGTCTGATTAATATTTTAATATATAGTTAAAATTATTATATTATATAAAGTTATACTGATAAATGTTGTAATTCTGAAAATTAACAAGTCTGTTACTAAACTAATTCAACTCTTATATAACCTATAGTGGCTAAGTTAAAATAAGTGTGTTAGCTTTGGCTGGTAGTTTATCATAGGTAAGTACTTGTTTTTTCTCTGTATCTTTTCTTTAATCTATTCTTTTACTAATCTAGTATACCTCAATCCAGGATTACACTGCATCAAATTGGGATTGAAACTCTTCTATTATTTTACAGTCTTGTCATGTAATTTGTAGCAAGTCATCAATTGGTAAGTTAGTAGTTTATAAATGAATGAATAATCTGAACAATAGTGGTTAACAATAGTTTATTAGTTTATTATTGCACTTAAATTTTATTATAAATCAGATATTTATTAGTACTAGAAGTTTTATTTGTATATAAAATGAGTTGTTATTGTTTTTTAGAATGAAATACTCTTTATTTATAATAAATGTCTTATTTATATTCATAATCAATTTATTTCATAAATGTCAAATATTCCTTAAAAGACTGATATGTCATTTAATGCATATATGGACAAAGTAGCAAAAATGACATAAGTGCCATAAGTATTATAAGTAACATAGTAATATTTCTGTTATTTTTCACATGACCTTGGATTGGATAAAGATAGTCATCCTAATTCAGGTACTTATAACCTCAAAAATCAGGCTCACAATATGTTTTAAAAAGAAGTTAAGTGTTTGTGAATATGAAAATAGAGGTAGATTTAGGCATGCTAGTTATTAATTGTAATATAAGTTTGAATTATATAATATATTATAAGTTGGTTCTTGTAATGTTTTTTTAATATTTAATAATGAAATAGAATTCAAGTAAATAGAAGATTCTTTTGTAGATTTGCTTATTGTATGCTCAACTCTTATAGCTAAAAAGAGTGTTATAGCCTGCTCTGTATATTAAGTTTGGCTATCATTTACTTAGTTTTTCATATAAAATTTAAATATTTAATTATTATATTAATATAATTTGCTTTAATAAAGGAATTTTTTTCATAGTTATATAATTTAAATTGAGTTAATAGATTAAAAGTTATATATGTTTAAAATTTATATATTATTAAAATAAAAATATTATACAAAAAAATTAGTACTTTATTTAATATTACAATTCTTTTTTTATATAATAATCTTTAAAACATTTTATAGTCTTTTGTAATTATTATATTAAATTACTTATATAGTAATATAAAATAACTAATTTTAATTAACTTTTAAAAAAAACTAAAATTTTTTAGTTTTTTATTAAATTTATTAAAAAATCAAATCAAAAAATTATAAAAAATATTCTTACAAATATGTTATATAAATACTCAAATATTATATATATTTTTTGATTGCTTATAATATGTAAAACTTTAAGTTATATAATTTAAAGTGTATTAAGATGATATATTATACTTAATAAAATTAATTAGTAAAATTATTTTAAACTTGAAATTATTTTAAAGTTTAACTAAATTATAGTATTTTGATATTACAACATTTCAATATTATGATATTGTAACATTATGACATTATAGTAAAAAATCTGACACATGTCATTACTATATTAATTTACAAAATTAATTCTACCAACAATCTGTTTGGTCTCTTATTTGTTTGAACTGAATTACTATAAAGAATATATACATGTTTTTGCTTTTTGGCCATCGAGTTACCTATGCAATTGTATATAGAATCGTGCAAAATGCATCTTCTCCATTTATTTTATTTGATTCTTCAATATTATGACTGTCAAGATCCCTCCATCTTATTCATGCATCCCGACCTGACAGGTCATATAAATTAGCATTACTCTAATGCAAGTAAGATGGGAGGGGCTTTACTTATTTGTGCCAGTAATACAACTCCTAAAAAGAAAATAGCCAATCAGTGAATTCATATTGTGATCTTTCCGGATCAGCCTGACATGAATTCCGAGCACGTGTAAATAAAAATAAAATGCTTAAATTCATGCGTAATTTATTCAATCAAAATTTTATATATGAAAATTAAAGTATATATAATTTAGGCCAGATTGTTGTCGAGTGGAATTACGAAATAAGAACGCAACTTGTCCGAAAAATCCCGAAAAGAAACCAAAAGACGAGGCAAAAATTTGAGCCAATACCAATATTTTCCAAAGGGAAATATAAAATCCAAAAATTATATGCGCACGATATTATAAATGCGCATTTTTCCCAGCTTTACTTTTTGTGTACAAATTAAAAATATCAGGAACGCAATTTTACATGTAATTGACAATAGTGTATGGCTATTGCTTTTAATGTTAACGTTCTAACCCTAAATTTGTGTTTTTCGCACCTTGTTTATTTACAAAATTAAACAAGATAGCGTACGTGAAAATTTTTGTCGATCCTTTCTACCAGCCAATTAAATCTCTAGATACGCACTACACACAAAAAAAAATTCGAGTATCGTATAAATTTGTAGGGTCTACAACCTAGCTCGTTCCTGTACCCAACAAAAAACCTAGGCATTGGCACAGGCACAGAAATTGGATGTTTATTATTTAATTGTACCTAGCACTTTGCCTAGCATTTGTGTCCGGCACCTTGTGCTCAGCATTTTATGCTTATGCCTTTAATAGTGCCTGGCACTCATAGACAGAAGTTTGTCTGATTGGCTAACAAATTCTATTTAATTTTACATTATTTTTACAGTTTAGAGTAATTTTTTTTTTAAAAACCGAAAACTAATCATAATGAAATAAAAAAAAGGTTGTATAGAAGGTTTCATTAGAGCTGTAGGACTTCATGGCCAAAAATAAGATCTAATTCTCGCCCGGTTAAAAAAGTTAGTATAGTAATAATTCTCAAAACCCGAAAAAATCAATTTATTATAAGCTAATTTTTTTAAACGGACGAGAATTAGATCTCATTTTTGACTATGGAGTCCTACAGCTCTAATGAAACCTTTTATGCAGCTTTTTTAGTTTTCGTTTTTTTAAAAAGTACTCTAAACTGTATAAATCATGTAAAGCTAAATTGAATTTATTAGCCAATCAGACAAACTTCTGTCTATGAGCCTGGCACTTTTGTGCCTATAGGCATAGGACACTAATGCCCGTCTGATGCCAATCTATTGGGCATGGGCATTTGTAGACCGCTAATCACTATTTGTATTACCCACAAATAAGTAAAGCCGGGTGTGAGGGATCGTATAACCAGAACGAAAGTCGGGTTCGCAGAAAAGACAAAGTTAATTCTCATCATTTTATTTGTCTACTGATAAATGTTCGCATTACTAATTACTCAATTGCCTCATACTTCACGTTAGATCGAACGTGTGATCGTAACCAGCTTGCCACATGTTCGATCGATGAATGACTGATTCGAGACAAAAGACAAAAGCTGCCTCGATACATACGCATCAAGCAGCTTTAGTTAGAGCAGTTTGCATAGTATTAGTGTATCTTTGTATGACACAAAATTGAATCAAATAAATTTTAATTTGAAAAAGTTCAGGTTTTGAGGATATTATTTACATTAAAATTTCACGTAGAATTTTTTTTGTTTGAACCTTCAAGACAATTTTATAAGCAAATTTTAAGTTACATATTTATTTATGTTTAAATAGAAATTTAATATGAATATTTAGATATACATATGAATACAAGCAATACATTTGAGATATATAAAATTACCACCATAATACAAACAAATATTCTGAATTGATTCATTTTGAAATGGATAAAGAAAAATAATAAAACAATTGAAGCCTAATTTTAAGCATAAATAAATACCGTAAATGAACAATAAGCTTTTCTTTAAATATAAAATAAAAACTCATAATTTTAAGAATTTATAAATTCACAATTATCTATCTGCCCTAGATAAATAACCATCTAAAAATGCCTTTAATTCATCAACATCATCTTCAAACACCGCGCCAGCAACATACAAATCAGGTCGAACAAGTACGAAAGCCTGCTTCCCGATATCTTTAATGATGCCATATTTTTCATGCAATTCGAATTTGCTTTCAACAAATATATGTTGCTCTCTGCCCTCTTCTTGGAATGGCATGAATGGTACATCAGCAGTGTTGACGACGCCCTGATATGAAATAATAATGGGAGTGATAGTAGTTTTATAATTATTGTATACCTCCAACAGAGTTTCAATAAGTGGATTGCAATCAGCAGTGACGCCCTTGTTTAGAGTAAAGAGGATTAAGGTATGCTTCAACGCAGTTGAACGAAAGACATCAAACATAGTTATGCGCTCATGATTTTTATGAGGAGTTATTTTTATTAATGATCCGTCTAGTACGTAATGGCCTGCTTTAATCAATTGGTTTTCAGCGCTTGAAAGAGGTTTATAATTGTGAAGAACCTCAGAAGATTCAGGCAAGTAATGAAGATTGTTTTGGAATAAATTGTTTTGGAATTTAAATGTAGCTTGGGGAAAGAAATTAAACATGAAAGGAGCAACGCGTGTTCGAAGGAATGTGGTAAAAAAGTCATTACCACTCAACACTTTTGTAAAAAAACCGGTACCCGCAACAACACTCTTAGCAGTGGAATACCGTTCTTGTTCATAACTATCAAGAAGTTTATTAGCGTCAGCTGTCTGATCCCTAATAACTAGAGCCAATTTGAATGCCAAGTTATGAGCATCTTGAATTCCCAAATTCATTCCTTGACCACCAAATGGCGAATGACAATGAGCAGCATCTTTTTTTAAAATAGAAAATTAATAAATATTACATTAAAGATAATTACATAAGGTGAACAAATTAAAAATTTATTTACCTCCAGCGACAAACGCACGCCCTGTTCGATATCTATTTACAATTCTTTCATTAATCTTGAAATTGGAAAGCCATACAGGATTTTTTAATTCCAATTTAATTGGGGAAATTCTCTCATCAATCAGTTTTTGCAATTCTTCCAGTGTAATATGGGTATCTTGTGTGAGACCATGTGTAACGTTGTCATTAGTTTCATTTTTGATTTCCTCTTTAGACATTTGAGCAATGATACGGACAGTATTTTTTCTGGCATCCAACGGTAATATCGCGATAGGTCCTAGTAAAGTAATTTGGCATATTTCATAAATATAATTAATTAGATGAAAATTAAATGTGTGAATGCAGTAAATAACAACGGTACCTTCATTAAGTGGAAAAGCAGTTGCTTGGTCGTATTTAATCAATTCATGATCAATTTCTACGTCAGCTACAGCCCATGTAGATTTCAACGTCTGACCTAGGAAAAATAGGAAAAAGATATTTGGATTATATATGAGTTTTATAAAATGAACGATAAAATTAATTAATCCCAATCATATAAATAAATAATTAATTAATTTTACCTTCAAAAGTCCAGCCATTTATTCCTTTTCTGACAGCGGAATGTACACCATCGCATCCTACTAAATATTGGCATATAATTTCTTCTTCTGCATTGTTTTTTGTATTTTTTACAACAGCAATTATATGATCATTCTTCTCTTCATACTTTATTAATTCCATGCAGAATTCAATTTTGGGGATATTTTTCTTTCCCATTGATTTCTTTTTGTGTAGAGCTTCAATTAAATAATCCATGGTCTTATTCTGACGGACAATTAATCCAAATGCATAATTGGCGTTCATGCTGCTAAGTTCGATCTTGACCGGATTGCTTGTATCATGAACGTTTTGGTACATACAGAATTGCTTCACTTTGAGACCGTGTTCCAAGAATGGATCTAAAAGATCTCTAAAGAAACAACAAAAATAGGAGTAAAAAAATATATATTATTTGAATTTAAAGAACAGATAAATTGATTTACCTATTATCAAGAATTTCCATAGTTTTCGGTGCTACCAAGAGAGCCTTTGAAATTTCTGGATGCTTTTCAACCTTCTCTATGATGCGGAAATTGATTTCAAATTCAGCCAATTCATTAGCTAAGAATAAGCCAACGGGACCTTTTGACCAAAAAAATGGGAGATTAGAAAAAAATTCTCTGATAAAATTTTTATTTCAAAAATAATTTTTATGTTTTACCTGCACCACAGATTAGTACATCTACATGATTTTTTTCTTTAAATAATGACACCATAATTGATAGAGATAATTATTAGAGATAATAAAGATGATAGTTTTAAAAAAAATTCCAATTTGCCAGCACTCTTCATTATTCGCATTTATTTATTTATTTATTTATTTATTCGGATTTTCTTACTTGTGTATCCTTATTTTATGATTTAAACTTATAATGCGGAGTGATTTCAATAGAAAGTTCGTTTTTTGTATAATCATTTCTAATATGAAATTTCTGCATACAAATATTTACATAATTTGTTACTTTTAGAGTTCCAATCCGTCATCCATTTATCCATATCTGAATTTATCAGGATATCCGTTTACTATTGATATCCAGATAATCCGACAAATATTCGGATATATTGTATGGATAAACGGTTAATAGATTGGAACACTAGTTACCTTTTAAACATTATTGTATGCACCTTTGCAGATTAACGATATGGGTCTATTGTAACAAGAAGAAACGTACCCGATCTAAAGTGAATCCCACACATGGTGTAATCAATTAAAACTAAATTTATTTATTTTAATTGATCACACCATGTGTGGGATTCACTTTGGATCGGGTACGTTCCCTCCTGTTACCTATTACAGGGGAGAGGAATCGGTAATCGAATAAATTTCAGCACTGGTCATATTTTACAACTATAAATGGTGTTATGTTGTTACGGAGTCATAGACAGAAGTTTGTCTGATTGGCTAATAATACATTCAATTTTACATTATTTATACAGTTTAGAGTACTTTTTTTAAAATCGAAAACTAATCATAATGAAAAAAAAAACTTTATAGAAGGTTTCATTAGAGCTGTAGGACTCCATAGCCAAAAATAAGATCTAATTCTCGTCCGTTTAAAAAAGTTAGTATAGTAATAACCTTTCAAAACCCGATAAAATTCACTTATTACTAAGCTAATGTTTTTAAGAGGACGAGAATTAGCTCTTATTTTTGACTACGAAGTCCTACAGCTCTAATGAAATCTTTACAGTTTTTTTTTATTTAATTATGATTAGTTTTCGGTTTTTAAAAAAGTACTCTAAACTGTATAAATAATGTAAAGTTAAATTGAATTTATTAGCCAACCAGACAAACTTCTGCCTATGAGTTACGGAGTAAAAGTGTGGAACCAGAAGATAGGGTCGGAGCTGCGCCCAAAAAATGTAAAAGTGGTGATGTTAAGTTGACATATAAGGTAATTACCGAGAATAAATTAGTGATATGGCTACCCCGGCCTATCGGCCGGGCTGGCGGGTCGAAGGTCGACCTGTACTTCTGTGGGCCAGCCCGGCCGATGTATAGCCGGGTTTTCTTGACCAATAGAAATGTGTGGGAAAAATCGGATGAAAATACTTAATTTTGTTTTTTCTTTAGATTAATTTTTGTTTGCATGATCTTTTTAGTTAATATTCAACGCAGAATTATTTTAATTTTGACATAAATGTGATAATTTTATTTCGACATTTTTATAATTTTTTTAAATATGTAAATTTTAGAATCCTATTTCGATGGTTTATTTTTATTGAATGATGTTTTTTTATAAATATATTTTTTTAATATAATTTATAATTAGACTTAATTTATTATTTTTAAATTATTTTTATCTATTCTTATTCAACGATGAATCTTAATCGTGTATAGAATGTTCTCAAGACCTTCTTGGATGCGATTTTTTAGTGATCGAAAATAGTATTGTGAAATAATTCTAGCCATTTTCGCATTGAAAGAGATCAAATTATACAATTATAGACCAAAGGTTTTTTTAAAAAATATGGTCGGCCAGAGAGTTTAGCATCGGCCCGTATCACTATCATCGCATTGTTCCACAAATTGTAAATGGTGACGAGAACGATGACGAGAAGATGATGAGAATGATGACGGGAGTAATACCATAATATAGGGAAAAGAACCAATCGTGTCAGAATAGAAACATAGAGTAATGTAGAATAACTTCCCTTAGCCCTGAAGTCTAAATGTTATAAAAAGAGCTGTAATAACTCCTTTGAAAAAAAAGGAATTAATAAAAAAATAAAATGTCAGCCCTTGCTAACTATAAAAGATATTCATAAACGTAAATCAATTAAAGTGATAAACTCAATACCAAATCACTAATAACACGCTTCTGTCGAGAATTTTTACAGATAAAACGACTCATCCGCCCGTAACAATGTGATAAAAATTTTAAATGGAAAATAATTGAGTAACCTCATGATGTACGAGTCTCAAAACTATATACTTTTGATTTTAAACGAAGTATACACATACTTACTACCATCATTGGTATTCATGGTACAACAAAACCAAATTTGATGCAATTAGCATATACTGTATGTCATAACCAGTTTTTTACACTTACTGTTAACTCCTGTAAATTCGATATTCTACTAATTCTACTAATTCTAATAGTTCTAATTAATTCTACTAGTTCGAATAGTTCTAATTAGTTCTAGTAGAAATAATAGTTCAAGTCGTAATATTAGTTTTTATAATAATTACTAATTCTACTTAGAGATATAAACATGATAGAAATAGTAGGAATATTAGATAAAATATAACTAAGCATAACTAACATATGTAATAGCGAAAGATCATAATATCGTAAAATGTATAAATAGCTTTAAAATCGCTCTTGTAAAAGAACAGTTCTAAACTCAATAACACAATAATAAAGGAGTAGTCGTGTCTTAATATACAACAACTCAAATACTTTATTAAATAAACAATACAACTGACAACTCTGTAATTGTGTCTTCATACACGAACCAAGTATCACCCCAAAGATCAGTTACGGTTAAAGCTCAGGATAAAATATAACTCCGAAAGTTATAATCTTGCGTAATAATATTAATTTGTAGTTTGCATAATAATTTTGTAATAAATATTTACAAAATGCAATATTAGTAAAATAAGTTTATTTTCCTTTTACTTTTTTAATGTTAATATTAATCAACTCAAAAAAAAACCATTAATGGATTTACAATATTGTAACTCATGTCGAAATTATAAGGCATTTGAGGATTTTCAAGGAAACAAAACTTGTGTTAGTTGTTTGACACAAATAAATGAAAGTAAAAAGTGAAAATGTAAAGAAATTACCATTTCTGCCTTACTTGATGTTAAAGAAAATGCTATCAATATTGAGAATATTACAGATACTATTTATATGATTCTAATAAATATGGATGATATTAATGATTGTTTAGAAAGTGATCAGAAGTTTTATATAGAAATGATAATCAATTTAGATATATTTACTGAAAAAATTACATCAGACATATTATGTAACCAATATGAAAAATTTTTTGTAAATAAAATTGTCAAGTGTATCAAATAAGAGGATAGTTACAATTATGTTTATTATACAAAAACTGTCTCACAAACCAAAAAAATGAAGTTATTTAATTATTGATATGATTGTTATGAAGAGCTTACCTCAAAATGTCTAAAATATGCTAATATATCCAAACAACAAAACAGAGAACCATATTTTATATGCTATGCATATGAGGATCTTCTTTCTATTGATATTAATTTATATGATAATCTTGCAAATGTAAAGTTATATCATAAACAACTTCATCAAAGATCAAAGCATATTTATGTTTCAGAAGATATTAAGCGATTTATTCATGAAAATTTAATATAAAAAACACCTGAGCTTCATAGAATATTTATATTTAAAAAACTTTATAAATATAAAACTTTTTTTTTTTTTTAAATATTAACGATGAGGCCATGCCTTTAACTTTATTGAAATTCAATTGAAGTTTTTACAAAGA